CTCCTGCCTCAGCCTCCCAAGTGCTGGGATTACAGGTGTGCGCCACCATGCCTGGCTGTCACATATATGTATTATAAATATTTTCCTCTACAGCTTGTCTTGCTTATCCATTTTATTAGCAATATCTTTTGATGAGTATAAGTGTTCATTTTAATGAAATTCAGCTTATCAATTCTTTTTTTCTTTAATGATTAGAGCTTTATATATCCTCGGAAATCTTTGCCTACCACAAGTTTACACACATACATTTGCTTCTGGAGGCTCTCTGATACTAGCTTTTAGACTTAAAAAAGTCAGTGATCCAACTCAGTTTTTTGTGTATATGGAATAGAATAGTTGTCAAGGTTCATTTTTGGTTTCTTCTGGTATAGGGGATCGAACTCAGGACCTCACACTTGCTAAGCAGGCACAGTGCCACTGAGCTACATCCCCAGCACTCATTTTTTTTCTTTTTAGTACCTGGGGCCCTTTTGACATCACAAGTGATACTGCTATACTGATGACTATATTTTCTAACTTTGTAGCACAGAATGCTTTGCTGGTGAATGACTAAGTTTATATTTTCCATGTCTGGCCTCAAAGAACTGTAGGGCTCTGGCTCATTGAAATGGAATCATTGGGTCGAGGGAAGAATAGTAATAATAGTACTGGTGGTAATTCTTTTTGGAACCCTTCCTATTTGTCACTACTTCCACTTACTTTAACTCTTCAGTTCCTACAACAGCCCTGTGAGATAGGTGCTATTATCATACCTCCATTTTGCAGATGGGGAAAAATTTGAAAATCATAAAACGTAGAGAAGTTAGATGTACTGAAGGCCTTGGGGCAGAGGATCCTTTCCAGCTTATTAATTTTGTCCTTATCCATTTGATCTCTGAATACAACCCAACTCCAGCTGCCCTGGAAAGCATTTGTAATAGAGCATACAGTGTTCACTTCATGCAGAACTATTCTAATTTTGTTCTTGGAAATAAACCCCAAAGCCAGGGGAGATCCCCATCACATTACAATGCCTTTCCAATCGCGTAGCTTTCTTACTCTGGCTAGTACCACTTTGTACTGCTCATGAGAGCCCTTCTGTCATCTGTAGGGTCTGTAATACTCACTGTGTGCCAAGGCTGCTTTGTGATTAAGAATTTATGAAGAAGAAAATGTAGCCTCTGCTGCCTTTAACATACATATACGTTACAGAAACTGCCGCTGAAGTGGTTGGATATTCTTGCTTGTAAAGATATCCCCAGCGTATCTCATTACATAAATGCAAATGTTCCAATTTTTTTTTAAAAAATCCAAAACGCTTTTAGTCCCACATGTTTGGACAAGGAATTTCACAAAATTTTGAAGAGAATAATTGACTCTTAAAATTTTGGTGGAGGTAGAAACTATTACTAGGGGAAAAATGACTTTCAAAAAATGAGATAGAATTTTGAATGGAATGAAAACTATGAGACACTATAAAGGAATATTTAGATAACTAAACTCAGGCCCTAGAAATCCAGGAAAGCCCAAGTTGTGTGCTCTTACCACTTCTGTCTGTCACCACTGTCCTTGCACCCTCTGCCCCTACCCAGCATTGTACTGTAAAAACTCCTGCCTTTTTGCTAAAAGCCTCTACTTGCTTGAGAAACTTCCTTCGGTGATTTGGGGACTGAGCTTATGTTGCTGATGAGATTAAAAACAGATTTCATTGTAAAAGTTTATGATGTTCCAGTTTGTTCAATGTGTGTGCAATTGAAAAAGTACTTCTTACCCGAAGTTCCTTATTTGATCTTCTTTGGTCCGATACCCTAACCCTCTATACATCTGTTGACTCCTGCTTCTGTTCATGTCCCTAAGAACCTGGCCAGGATTATCCCCTTTTATGCTGAGTTAGTTACAGACTTGATTTCTGATAGGCAGCAAGACAGCTTTCATGTGAATGTCTCCTTGGAATGCTATTAAAATAGTTTTTAGCAAGTAAAGCCAATCTTGCTACCTAGTGAGGTGAATTCTGATACAAGCTGCATAGTTGCATGACTCCTCTAATATCTAATCAAGCAGACTGGCTAGGTGTCATGATACATATCTGTGATCCCAGCACTCAGGAAGCTGAAGCAGGAGGATCGGGAGTTCAAGACCCTGTCTCAAAAAACAGAAAGAAAAAAAAGCTCTGAGTCTGAATGGCTACCTGTGGCTGGAAACTTCTGTAATCAGCAGCCAAGCCAGGATTGGAAGCAGAATCACCACTGATGAGTGTTCTGACTTTGGTCCAGTGATAATAAATAACAATTTCATTCTATATTTAAAGTACTGTCATACATTGTCGTGGACATCTCAAGATGATTCTGCCAAGGTAGTTCCTGCTTTTTTACCTGCCCTTCTTTGTGTTCATTTGTTAACTGGACTGCTCACCCCTTCCCTGAACTTTGCCTTCATTGAAACTTGAATACTGCCAGGCGTGGTGGTGCAGGCCTATGATCCTAGCACTGGGGAGGCTGAGGCAGAAGGATTGCACTGAGTTCAAGGTCAGCCTAAACTACACAGTGAGACCCTGTCTCAAAAATCCTGAATACCTTTCTCCACTGCACTTCCCTCTAGTTGCACCTCAGTGCCTACAGCTGCAATCCAGTGCCTTTAGCTTCTCAGCCTGCTTCTTATATATTATCTTCAGTAAACTTCTGTTCCCTTGCTAATGAGAAAAGAGGTAACAGGTTCTTCTGGCTCCTCTTTTCCTAACCATGTAATCCTGTTTTACTCCCACTCAGTACTCTACTTTGTGAATAATGTTACATTTCATTAATATGTTTAGGCTCTTTTTATTAGTGGATACCTCATACCTTCATAAGCCCCTTGGGAATGGCTTTGTTTTTGTTTTTGTTTTTGTTTTTTTGCCATATAATAGCGTGCACATCACAGCATTTCCAGAGGGATCACTGAAAATCAGATGTTATACTCAAAAATAAACAAAAAGAATAAGGAAGCTCTTTGCTTGTTGGTATTGTTCTCCAAAAAGATTAGCTGTAATTGAGCAGCTTAACTGTGGGTGGGAGTCAAACTGAGCATCCTGTCCCTGAGCAAGGAATGTGACATAGCAGAGGTGAGATTATGTTAATAAATCCTTCCATTCGTGGATTTCATAATATATTTCACAGACTTTCCTTAACTAGGTATTTAGGAATCTCTTTATTTGTGAGAAAATGGGAAACCAAAGCAGAGACTTGAAATTACCAAGCTATGGAGAAGGCCACTGGCCAGAGAGAGAGAGAGAGAGAGAGAGAGACTCCCGGGCTCTGTAGACAGTCACTGCTCCCTCCAGTGTGCTGTGGGGTCACTGGGGCCCGGACTGTTGATAACCAGGTGTCCTTTCAAGCAGGACTCAGGGAGGTCTGCATACCTCCATAGTTGATAGCTCAGTAATTGATATGCCTCTACTGTTGATCAATAACGCCAAAGGAAAGACTAACACAGTGACTTGTTTGATTTCTAATCCTGGGGATTGAACCTAGAGCCTCACGCATACTAAGCTGGAGCTGCACCACTGAGCTACACTGCAGCCTCAATCACAAGGACACATCTCCGAGTAGCCACTCTTTCATTTCTCCAAGACCATTCACTGGGGTTTGGTGTTCACTATGAGAACCTTTATGATGTTTCTTTAGTGAATAATAATACTCTTTTCTGGTCAAAAGGAAGAAAAAAAATAGAGTAGGTAATGAAAGTCCAGAGAAGAATCACCAGAAGCGTTAAGGAGGTGGAAGGTCTGTCAAATAAGATTCTTCTCACAGTAACTAGGAAATTAGACACTGTATTAAAATACAGACTTTATATCATCACATTCATCATTTTAAACATTTCAAATGTACGCTTAGTGGCCTTTAGTACATCATCACCACTGTCAATTTCCACAGGTTTTTCTCCACTCTAGACTAAAACTGATGCTCATTAAATAGTAACTCTTGATTCCCCAGCCACGGCAACCACCATTCTATTTTCCGTCTCTGTAACTTGTCTATTCTAGGTACCTCCTATCAGCAGAACCATATTCTGTTTTTCCTTTTGTAACAAACTTATTCCATTTAGCATGTAGGCAATCTCTCCTTGAAGACTTCTACTTGTATGGACACAGACACAGTCACCAGAATCTAGGATTTAAAACTAGGGCAAGAAAGACAGGCAAAGTATTTAACAAACAGTGTAGCGTAGAACAATAATGGCAAACCTTTTAGAGACGAGCGCCCATATTGCAACCCAGAACCCATTTATATATTTATAGCAAAGTGCCAACACTGCAATTAAACCTGAAAACTGAGGTTTTAGTTTGGAAAAAACAACTCCTACGCTAACATCTTCTGTCTTACAAAACAATGACACGTGTGCCATAGGTTCACCACCACTGTCACAGGTACTGATTAGTCAAAAAGGCTTCCAGGTCTTTGCCTTCTCCGTGTACGTAAGCTCGTGGTCAGCCCAAGTGGGAGCCACATTATGGTAAATTTGGAAAAATGAAGAAACTAGCTTCTCGTACCAGTTATATTATCTTGTGATGGAGATATAAGCTCGGTATAAACAGCTTCTAAAATAGGTTTAGATATTTCACTAATGTATGATTAAGGTAAACTAAAGACTCTATGTAACTTATCCCTTTACTTTTGAAATTGATAGTTAGAGATGATTGTGACTCTCTTCCTACCTTAAATTAGGAATTTGAATCTCTCTAGACTCTTCTTGAAGGTCCTTGTGGCAATCATGGGGACATGAATTGCTATTTCAGTTCTTTAACATTCAGTAAATATTTACTCTCCACTAACCATATGCCAGTCCTTATAATAAGCGCTGGGGGTCAAATGGAGAGCAAAGCAATCTCTGTCCTTGTCCTTATGGAGCTATGGCTAGATACTTTATCCTACAAATTAGATTCCTAATTCCAAACTATGTATGGTTCATAAAGGAAAAGTGCCTGAGACACATCTCTATTTTCTGCTAGAAAACCATCCAAGAAATCTACTTTCTTTTCTCTTCAGGAGCCTCCAAGCAGGTGGCTTTGCCTGGGAGGGAGAAATCGAGAACAATGCGTACAGCAAGGCTACAGGGGTGGTCCCCCAGCACAAGTACCTGCCCACGGCAGGCAGTTACCAACTTCATTTTGCCCTCCAACAACTTGAACAACAAAAATTGCAGTCCCAGCAACTTCTGGACCAGAATCGAGCCCGGCACCAGGTAATTCAAGATAAGCTTTTCCATGCACGAGTATCCTCCTGTTGGTGAAAAGAAAGTTCAGGATGCACAAGTGGGTGGTGTAGGGTGAGTTTCCCAGCAGCAGCCTGGCTTGGGTGGTTCATGGGGAGCCATAACTGCTTCATTGGAAGGCGATGCTGAACAAGTGTTTGATATGGTTCTTTCATCTGAATGTGCAAAAATCTGTATTGTAATAAATCCTTTCTGTTGTGTGATCTTAGTTCAGTAGCCTCCTGGAGGGTCTAATTCCCAAACACCTAAAAGATAACATTTTAAGCATCTTTATTTCAAAATATACTACTATGTTGAGTACATATTAATCTGTCATAATCAGTCAAGATTTTCTAAAGAACAAATCACTTGCAAATTTTTCCTGTAGGAAATGGTCACAGAGTTAAGGTTGCTGGTTTTCTGTAAACAACAGACATTCATTGAGGGTCTGTCATGTGCTGGCCACTGTTTTAAACTGGGACGGTAACCATGACCATCCACACAAACATCCTTCCTGTTAATGAAACTTCAGAACACGGAAATGTTGATTCCCTAGACAGTGTTGTCTATGAAATGATGGGAAGTCCTGGGGAACGTGTGTGAGGAGCTGAATGAGTATATCACACCATTCTGTTGATGTGGCTACATCACAGAGAAAGGATGATCGCCTCGAAAAGTCTGGCCCTAAGGCTGGGGATTTAGCTCAGTGGTTCTACCGCCTGCCTTGTGAGCGCAAGGTCCCTAGTTCAATTTCCGGTACAAAAAAAAAAAAAAAAAGC